ATTATGGTTGTAGATCATTGATCCCAAGATGGGAATCTCCTGTCTGCAGAGTAAGGCTAGGTCATCGGACAGAGGGTAAATCATTATAATCTGATAGATAGATCACTCCTTAATAAGAGGAATCCTTCTGGATGCTCCGTTGAGTGTGTTGTGGCCAATTCTCAACCCCATATGAGGGTTTCTAGGGGTGTGTTAAGATAGCTGACAATGCTATGTCCTTTCTTGATAAGGTCTTGACGAGAGGCAGATTGATGACCCTATTCGACTCAACAGGATTTGGTTCAGATAGCCCTCGCTCAACCGTCCTTTGCTCGGATGGTCTTGGGTGCCAGTTCAGGGAGTTGCACGTAGTTAGGCAAGTCTTTTGGTATTCCACTAGTGAATGCTTAGACTTCTGATGCTGGACCTCTAATTTTTTGTTGATGGACCTTTGGTTTTGCGCCCACAGCCCCTTAGCTTTTTGTCTATTGGCTCTTGATCTTTCGCTCGTGGGTCTCATTAAGCTGTGCTCTTTTGTACCTTTTGTCCATTAAATTTTCTAAAGATTCATGTAGACACTTATATAATATACACATAACTAACACCTAAACTTTATTTTTTACATTTATATCACCCAGATCTTTCATATCACCTAAAAAATATTATCATTTTAACTTTCAAAATAACATAAAATACACATTTTCATGCACAAGCATGGTGGTATGTATATAAACATTGAAGTTTAGGTGTTAGAGATGTAAATACATAGGCGTTGAGTTCTATGTATGTAAATCTTCCTTTTCTATATTCCTTTTGGGGACTATTCTTTAACCATAAACAATAGTCTTAGAGGATAGTTTTGTGACATCCCAAAAAAGCCCTGCTCATGTCCACACCAGAGGTTGATTTAGCCTTTAGTGTATCATAATTCATTGAGTTTACATATATTTTTCTCCTTTCATCAAAGCTCCAATATTAAAAATTAGATCAAATTTTTCTCTAAGGGTACTAAAAGCATCTCAACCTTATTCTAAACCCCCTGCGAGTGCCATCATTGAGTGAGCACCAGAGGCCATTTTATATCAAAACAAGCTCTTATGAAAGTACTTAGATTAGTAGATGGGGGAGACATCATTTCTATCTATTCTTAAATCTTTATGTTGGTTCTCTAGCAAGAATCTTGGCTAGTACAAAACCTTTTGAGTGTGGGACACAATGCAATGTAGTAATCCTTGAAAATGTCATCTCATTAGTTTCATACAACTTCAATAATCCTCTTTGGGACCTCTACCTCAAGTTCGATTCGATCAACCCTATGAGGACTTGGTTTACATCAATTTGTAATGCGACCTCAAGGAATGATGAAAAAATCCTCAGTTAATAGCATTATGCCTCTTGATTGTTCTATGTGCAAAGAAAAACAATGTTGCTCTTAAGTCCTTAATCTCTACTTCATGACTAAGACTTCATGATTGCATAATAAAGAACATGGAAGATGTTCCAACCTCTTTACAAATAATGTCTTGCGTCAAGGGTGCCCAACATGAAAGGCAGGCTGGCATAGAGCATTTCAACTCTACCTCCAACTTGCATCGTACTTCATGAATGCTCAAACGAGTTGGGAAGGTGGCGTTTTAAAGGCCCGGTCGAAAAGATTGAAATGTCAAGCTTTCCAACTGCTCTACAAGCAAGGAAAGCGGTGTATTGCAAGAAAGAAAATTTACAATTTTACATGCGCACCACTCAATTCTTATATATTTACATATCAAACACTAAAATTTTAATTTCTACATACATGTCATGCTGCCTACCTATGCATGAAAACATGTGTTTTAACCTTTTAAAAGTTAAAATGGTGGTTTTTTTAATTTGATATGGGAGATTTGGGTGGTTGTATAAATGTAAAAAAATGAGGTTCTGAAGTTAGTTATATAAATACATAAGAATTGGGTGGTATGTATGTAAATGCCTAAATGATTGAAGAGTCAAGAGGGCTACTTACAAATTAATCCACCTCCATTTTTGTATTTTCTCTTAAGAGGGATGCTTGTAAGCCAATCCACCCAATTCTTGTATTGTTTTTTAAGAGGGAGTTTTTCCATAGCTACCTCTAGATCCAAAATCTCCCTAATATAGTTCATCTTTGTAATGTTCTTTTTCCCCTTGTGGGCCCATATAGTTTAGCAAATTTGTGGGTTGATCTGGACACTAACTCAAGAAGGGGCGAACGAACGTCCTAAGAAGATTGAATTAATTTTCTTAAAGAGATGTGGTAACTTTTTTTTGACATTTTTCGATTCCGTAGATTTGTTTAAATGTGTCGATTCACATTATTATGATATGCTATTTTTATTCAATTTCATTGAAATCAACTTCATTTTCTTACCCATTTTATTATTTCAATCTCTATGGTTTCTGGATGTTGCCTTAATTGCTCAAGCTCCAGCAAAGCTCTGAAAAACAAAATATGGGATGCTATAAAATGCCAAATTGACTCACAATAAAGTATGTTTGCATTGATGTGTCTTGACAATGCTTGTACCTGAAAGTTTTGAAATCACCTCCAAACATACAAAAATAATATGCTACCTCACTCATTGACTTGTAGTTTTTAGAAATGACCTAAAAAAAGTGGATAATGATTTGTCCCTGATCAATCATGTCTCCACATTTATTTCAATTGCTCGATTTAAGTATGTCAATATGTGTTCTCCATTTATCACTGCACGATAATGTTTGAATGGGCGTCGGATTGTTTCAAGTTTATGTCAACCTTTTGATAATGCTCGATATTTCATTTACTCGTCTCCAATGTCAAGATTTTGACATGAATCTATTAATGTGATCCACATCATTTTGAACATCAATGTCGAAGCCCACCCCCTATATGGATTCATTGGTCTAATGTCTATCTCCAATATCATCAATCTAATGATCTGAAGTCTCCATCAATTTGATTATTTCATCTCCGATCGCTAAAGTTGACTTATTTCTTGTCATCTTGAGTTTAGCTTCTCATTCTCATCATTTTGCTCGAGTGCGGTGACAGTCTCTATCGAGCCACCCCCAATATCCATTCTAAATAGAAAAACTCTTAGATTTCGGTTTTGTCTTTCAGCTCGGTTATTGACTTGAGCATCAGAGGGTCTTCATGGAGGTCGCCGATCTTTTATTTTGACCGCCGTATAACTTGGTATCGTACTAAAAGTCAACCCATCGAGTAAGTTATGCTGACAATTGTGTCATATTTTGAAATGAAGCTTGCTCTAAATAGTCTTTCTAACTTGTTCAGAGCCCAACTTTACTTAGGTTGTATGCTATGTGCAATAAAATGCAGGTTTTTTGGTGTAACCGTAAATGATCTTTGAGTGTTAGATATGTATATACATTAGAATAGTGTGGTGTTTATGTAAATTTCCCTTTTCTGATTTGTTAGGATTGTTTTCCCTTGCAAATTCATGTATGGAAGTTCAAATTATATAGTTGAGCTTTGTTTTAGTGAAGCTTCAAGCAGAGTACACAATCTCCGTTCAATTTTACTTCGACATATGTGATTGAATATCAGCCGCCCATTTGAAATTTTCTTACTTGTAAAAAAAATAAATATAAAAAATTTGCTTTTAAGGGAATAAGATTTTTTTTTTCAAAATAGAGATTTATTATTAAGCCTTGTTTTTTTTGGGCATTTACATACATACCACCCAATTCCTATGGGGTTTATAGACTAACCTAAGGATGTATGTGGGATCGATGGAGTTATGGTCCAACTTAAGAATTTTTATTAGATTGATGGGGTAATGGCTTAGTTTGAGGATGTTTGTGGGACTTATGGGGTTATGCAGTTGCTTAAGAACATATATAAGACTTTATTAGGTTATTATCCAACCCAAGAATTGTATTCTATGCTTCCTTCATATAAAAACACTTCGGAATATAGCACCTTAAGTCTCTGAAGGTTTGAATCAACTCTATGATCCATGTGTGACATATCCTTTTTGGTTAGAGGAATGATTTGAGGATATCTCAACGAGGACATAATATTACGTGCAATTATTCATATGTACGGATTAAGAGTGCGCATGTCAAGTACATTGAATATATCTCGAGTACACCGTGATTATATTCATCTGCATATACGGATCATTTGCACGTATTTGTACCATCATAATTAGTTCATTTAGACTTCAAATAATTGACTAAATAAATAATTTTTTATTTATTATTAATTTATATATTAATATTAATTACATAAATTTGTAATACATTTCTTGATTTTAAACTAATTTATTTATTTTAGTTATTTTACTTCATCTTAAAATGGCTAATTTTAAAATTTTAACATAATTCAACCTAATTATGAGCTGAAGAAAGACGAATTAATATAAGATCCAACTGCACAAATAAACTTAATAATGAGTTGATGAATTGAACACAAATACACCCTAAGCTTGGTCAAGCCCGACCGGTTTAACCCTTAACTCGCCTATTCTATCCAAAAATATGACTCCCCACCATTACAAATTTTATAAATAATAATACATTATTTACATGAAGCCATTTATAAGTATCAAATTATTCTCCAGATTCTTTAACTTGGCCGTCATTAGTCTCAGAGTTTATAGAACTGTTCTTAGAATTTATAGAACTGTTCAATTGATTAACATATTCTTTAAATTGGGGCTAAGAAAATCCTTACGAACGACCGCTAAAGCCCCAACTTCATAAATTCAGGGACTAACTTAACACTTCTATATAAGCTCTCGGACTATAACAATCCCATATAACTAGTTAGCAAACACAAAAAAATAGGGCCAAAAAGGGATAAACTTTTGGAAAAAAAAAAAAAAAACAATCCTAAATTGATCCCAGGTCATTAAATCCTAATACCCATTTATTTAATTTCAATTGGTGTGGGAAAAAAATATGAAAAATCTACAACACAACCATGCATAAACAAGTTAGCAAACCATGAAAATGAATAAAATTTCCTCCACTATACATTTATATAAAAATATAATAATAAAAGATGAAAGACATCCTCAAGCACCAGACCTTGTACAGGAAAGCTCTACCCTCAACATTAACTTATTTAAAAAGTACAACATACATCAACAAGAAAACTTTTTCTCAACTATAACAAAATCAAATCAAAATGCCCAAAAAAAAAAAAAGAAGAAGAAGCCAATCCCATTAATGGTGAATATACCTAAATAATGTACAGCAAAAACAAAAGAACCATCTTTGTTACCTGTGCAAAGAATGCTTCACCCAAGATGAACCCAAATACAACAACAACAACAATAATCTTCAGTAATTCAACAAGGAATACTTTAATCGAACAACAATCTTCCCTTTCTCCACCCCCAGCTTCGCTCCGGTAACCAACCAGTGCCCCGGCGAGTCCTGCGGCCCCTTCAACATCTTCGTTGCATCCACAATCTTCCCCAGCTTCCCGACATGACCTGACTGCTCACTTGACGACGACGGGCACGTCGAAACATCGTCATCCAGCTTCGGATCAGGGCTGTGATCCCAGACCGATCTTCTTATCGTGCAACCCGGAACTCTCGAGAAGAGGAGTTTGAGGTGAAGAACACTCTTCGCGCCGAAATCCCACACTCCGAGTTGAGCTCCAGTAACTATGTAAACGCCGGAAAGGTCGCCGATGGTGGTGTCGGTGTGTTCGATGGGTGCAGTGCTCACATGAGCAAAGTTCTTCCATTTGATCGGTTCAAACCAGCGGCTGTCTTGTTCTTCGGGGCCTTTCCACTTGGGCGGACCAATACCGATGTGCGAATCCCAGTGGGGGAGAAGGATTTTGGGGAGAGAAGCGAGATGTTGTAGATGGATGGCGAGCCGGTTCTGTTTGGTTCCTTCTAGACATAGCCTGAGACCGGTGACAGGCCTACGCCCTACAGATATCTGTGGAGAAGCATTGAAGCATTGCATAATCTCTATAAGAAATAGTAGTTCAGCACTAGATTTATCTTTTCACATCTTGGTAAAATCAAGGCAGGATATTCAAGATAACTATCAAATGTGGTGCCAAACACGGAGAAATCATTCATGAAAACTCAATGTGTAGTTCAAGTAAATCAAGAAATATAGTCATCATATATCTCTAAAAAGTGGCAGGAGTATTGCATAAATTAAAATGGAATTCTCCTAAAGGTATAAAAGCAAATGTTGAATATAGGCTGACAAATGTGATTTTCTTGAAAAATTTTATTAACCGATAGATTATACATCAACTAACGGAAAATTATAACTAGAGGTGCTGTAATTGTAGCATTGCTCAATATATTCAGAGTCAGTTGACCAAATAATTTTACAGTGCGCCTTGCGTCTAGAATCTACAGAGTTTAGGGAAATTCACATATATGCCCGCACAATCCCTTTCTATTTACATATCTACACCTAAAATTTGATATTTACATTTATAACACTTTGGTGTCATAAGCCTATGCATGAAAAGTTGTACTTCACTTTTAAAAGTTATCAGTAGTATTTTTTATATGATATTACAGATTTGAGTGTTAAGTATGTAAATATTAAAAGTTAAGTGTCAGATATATAAATACTCAGAATTGTGTGGCAAGCAAGTAAATGCCCAAGAATTGAACAGCTTTTGGCAAAGCAGACAGGTCTTCATTGACATATGCTAGCGTCTAGTGCTTTGGGATTGTGGCAAGGTAAAATTTATTTTCCTAATTTAACCATTTTTATGGTAGTTGATTGTGCTTCTTAATAGATATAAGCGCTGCATTAGAAATATATGAAAGTCTGAGATGCATGCCTCAAGTTTTCAAGCGTCGGGTTGCATTTATGATGTAAAACATCTTAAGCTCTAGGATTCTTCTTTGGTTTTTAAATAAAGGTCCGCCAAGCAAGCCAGTCCTATAAAATTCTACAAATTATATCAGCCATATATATTAGAGTTAAGTATTTGAATGCAACAAATAATACAATGTGAAATTAAAGAAATTAAAACTCAGAAAATTTTGTTCAAAGTGATGGAGATATAGATGGGGATGTTATTAGTAGATTACAAGTTGGTTGAAGTAGAGGAATGCATCAAGCCAACTATGTGATAGAAAAATACCGCTCAAACCTGAAGGAAAATTTTAAAAGATGGTATAAGATGGTGATGAGACTTAATAGCAATATATTTATAAACATGACAATCAATATATTGTATGATGGATGCTAACATGCAAAAGCAAGGAAACCCGTAAAAATTCAGCCAAACTAACATCAAAAAAACAAACCAACGTTCTGAAAAGAATAATATTTCTAAAACTAAACTATTGCACTATCATAACAATGAATCCAATCTAAGGACACATATGGTCCACATAGGAAGCATAATCATGAAAACAACTAAGAAAAGTATTACAAAAATAAAAAATTGCTCACCTCAGTGCACAATATTTGCATTTTTTTATGAGTATAAACTTCATAGCTACATAAAATTTACCCTACTTGAAAAAAAATTAGCTCAGATGAATTTAACATTTGATATTCATCAAATAAAATATATGGCATAACTATTACACTTTTACAATGCAATGCATGAATTGTTGCATATAAGTTTATCCCATTAACGCACAATATATCTCTAAGATACACCATCAATAAAACACAATTTTATCATGAAGAATAATTTAAAGAACAAAACAGGAAAAATTGTCTGATAAAATGTTGGATATGTCATGAAATCTTTTCGAATTCATGACATGCTTGAATCGCGTGAAGATTTTAAATTAGAATCGAATATTAATTATGATAGTTAAGACTTATGAGACTATTAATGATGTGTACAAGTGAGATTAAATTTGGTTTAGGTGACATGGTAATGATATGAATGAATTAAAAAAGATTTCTTGCACAAGCCTTTGAGAAATTAATAAATGCGAGAAAGACGAGATCATTTAAAATCACGCAACACATTGGATAATAGTCCAGCCTTTAATGCATCCCATATGACTATATTGATGATTCTGTAGTGCAAATTCAGCTCGCTACAACAACAACACAAACCTTTTATCCCAGCAAATTTAGCAGTGCTAGACTCAACAAAAAGTTCAACAAGATTTACAAGCTTTAAAGGTTAAAACTTTGCAACTATTTCAAATTGACTCAAATCGGTAGATAAAGTTATAAATAAATTGTATGCAAATTCAATCACTATAAAACTTTAATCTTAATAAATTGTATACTCTTTAATTAAGCAATCAACGGATCACTAAACTCTTACTTTCAAGTTTTAACCTCAATTTATTTATCATTTTGTGGGTGATAAAAAGTTAAAAACTTTAATTGAATTACCATCTTTTTTCAGTTTTGTAGACTCCAAAATTTCACGAACATTCCTCAAGAGACTCTACAATTTATTTCTATTTTGTTTTGAGAGAGCTTTAGAGGGTCGAATTTTCAGAAGACGGATTGTATTGTAGATAAAACACTACCCAAAGATTTCGCCCTCACTTTGCAATGAAATTTTTTATCTAGGGTTTAAGGTATCCGATAGGCGCAATCCCCTATGGTTAATTGTCTGCCTTGATAATAGGATAGCACTTTTGATTAAGGCTAGTCATTAAAGTTCGAAAATAAAACATATAATAGCAGCAAACTTAAGAATTAAATTGTAGAATTCATCATTTGAATTTTAAAGCGCATGGTGGGAGAATGAACACGAAACCCGATCAAAACCTTATGGTTCCGTCATCCAGAGTTGTCGTGGTCCCTGATCTACTTAGAGGAGGTAGTCAACCCAATCTGACAGAAGGAATCTTGTCAGCTACAATGAGTTGAGTCATCCAAGATATCCTTGTAGATCTATGATAAATGTTTGTTTAAGAGGAAAATTTAAGTCGACCTTAGCTAACATAAAACACCATGACAATTATTTGTACCCTTATGATTTACAAGTAAACAACTGCGACCAGAGCAAGCCAGCCATACGGGTACAATTGATTGTCGTAAGTTAAAATTCAATCACTAAAAGTTATTTTGTGGTGTTTTTTGGCGGCTGAACCAAGCGGACAAAGAACTTGGGCAACACCCTTACTAGCATACAATTACTTTGATTGTAAAAATAAATGTAAAATTGATATGACATTCCCTCGTGAGTTAAAGTCAATTAGAAATAAGGAAATAGCTTTACACTTTCCTTACGCAGATTCTAAATTGGAGAGGATGAAGCGGGGGAGGATCACAAGAGAAGCAGCCTTCGCTCTGTTGCAGTTTCAAGTCAACAGAACGAAAAGGTGTAATGGGCGAGCAGTTCTGTCGTGGCTTTGACTTCTAACCAGAGAAAAATTTTCTCGCACGAACGGTTTTGGCATCAAAGCGGGAGCGGATAATTTAATTTTACTTACATTTATTAAAATCTAATTAGTAATATTAATCATTTTTAATACTTTTCTAATGTCAACAAGCCTTCCACAAATAACTTGTGAATTTTGCATCAATTTCAAACACAATAGTTTTAGGTAGTCATATAATTTAATCATTTCATTAATTACAAACTTTTGAGAAGCATAAAAAATTTTATTACATGGCATGAAACAACCCATTAAAAAAAAGATGTTTTGTAACTACAAATAATCCAAGCTTTTAAAAATCATGGTAGCCTATAATGAAAGTTTATATTAGCACCAATTACTCATATAATCAATCTTTTATTTTAGAAACAATTTTCCATTTATAAAACTCTTCCATCCTATACCATCTCTCAAATCAATTTTAGAAAAGACCAGAGCACAAATCATCACATTCCACCTATCATTCAAACAAGCTATATGAAATTGATATTTAATTGTAATTTAATTACTTTCTTGACTATCCACATATATATACCAACTAAAATCTTTCTAGGTACAAGAAAATAAATCATTTCACAAGTAATCCATCAACCTATCTTTTAAGCTCACAATATTCATTTGGATTTACCTATAATAAAATAAGTAATGATGATCAAGGATTAAATCAATGCATAATGAATGTCCCTAAGCAATGGTAACTCGACAAGATATGGATTACTAAAATCACACCAGACTTGATTAACATCCCTGTATATAGTCACATTATCAAGCATAAAATTATTCAATTCAAAAGCAACAAAACATAAATCAATCATTCCTTTTAAATCACATTTTAAAAAGCATGATGATTGAATATATTACAAAAACCTATTCAAATCATTTGCATTATAATTTTTTTGTAAATGACACATAATTATTCTTATGCTTCGTAAGTTCAAAAACTATATGAGTGAAAACAATATCAAACTATGCAGGACGTAAAAAAAAAGGAGAGCAATTATAAAATACAGTCTCATATCAGTTCACAGAAAAGCTCCCCCCAAAAATGGGCAATTGCTGTTGCACTATAATCAAAGAATTCAACATCCAACTTAATACTCAAGCTTTATGGCTATAATTTAGTAATAAATAAGATATGAATCTCGAAACAGGAAATCTACAAAAATCATGCTTCAGAGCAAGTGCTTGCCTCAATGCATAAACATAAAAAAACTACAAATATAGACGACTAAAGCAAAACAGCACTCAAAACATCAAGTGCTCACCTCAACGAATAAGATTTGCATTTCGAGGGGTGTAACTTTTAGATCACCATCAATTCATGATGAAATTTTTGTTTACAAAAGGCTTAGTTATCCAATGGTTGAATAACTATATCTTTGAACTTAAATAGTACTAGAAATTAACTTCAAAGTCACTTAAATTTTCCTTTGTCACTCAATTCACTTGACAGCTAGCACAATCAACTAATGCTACCAGTGTATTCAAGGCAAGTTTTCATTCAGAGAACACATGCAACAGCACATAAAGGAAGGGGTAAAAAAAGAAGGCAACTTTACATACATACCGCATAATCTAACACCTAAAATTTGATATCTACACTCGTAACACAATCAAGGAAGGTTTTCACTAGTGTAATCATCAAAACTAAGTGCAGAGATATCATAGTATATTTTATTATATATGACTCAAATTAGTTTTAGAGCAATTCAAATTATCAAAAAAGGCTTAGAATTATTTTGAGCTGGACCAACTAGCTTGTGACTTGACCTGAACAAATTTGATTTGACTTCTTTGACATAAATCTGAAAAAAGTATTTCGGGCAAATTTGACCGCAAGACTGCCTAATAGAACAATTTTTTGCTATTTTGTTGGGCTTTCCGGATGAAGTACATTAGGTCATACATAACAATCAGCTATGAAGGGAATAAAAACCCAAGCAAACATCTTTAGATGTCGATTGATAAAAGCTTTGTATGACAAAATCTACGTTCTCTTCAACTGTAAGGCTTGAAACTCCTACCAGATGGAAATATCGTCTTCTGCTTTTCCTTTTACTAATCCATCTTCTCACCTTAGTATTTTTCAAAATAATTTTTAGTTGTGAAGTGTGATTGGATTTATTCAAAGCAAATGTAAGCTTCGGTTTTATTTAAAAAATCTTACGCAATGTAGCTGTATGGTGATATGGTTTAATATCTATTTCTGTGCATGTGATTTTCACCAATTCATGCCAACATAGGATTTTTCTTATTCTTTATGAGTGTCCGTTTCCTTGAAAGTTAGCATGCTTTGCATAGGTTGTTCTAGCAAGGTCCTAAAAAACTGTTTTGATTTTCTTCAGATTATGAAGGCTTCAATTTAAAAGGTTTCAACATATTCACCAATTTCCGCATTTAGTTTTGGACTCAGATTTTGGTATCACGGAAATGTTTGTGCGAAAATCTTCCATGTCACTAATATTGGTAATGGTAATATTTATAGTATTGGTAGTAGTATATTAATGAATTTATTACAAAAAAAAAAAAAAAAAAAAAAAAAAAAAAAAAACCCCCCCGTGTAATCTTCTTTCCTCTATGTTTGACAAATCAGAATGTTTATATTAAAAAGATATTAATAACAATAATAAAATACTAAATCATGAAAAAAAAAACAAAAATTAATAATAATAATAATAAGAATAATAAGAATAATAAAATTATTATAACGTTAAAGATATTATTACGAAAAGATAGATGATCTATGTTCTCCTCTATCTTCTAGGTTTCTTCTACTTTAACATTGATATAACCTTAGGCCTTTTCTTTCAATATTTTCAATAATTTAAACCACTCGAAAAGATGTCATATTGTGACTTGAAGTCAAGGTACATAAGGATGAGGCTCATAAATATTTCAGAATTAATGAATAAAAAGGGACATGCCCAATTCTTGCATATTTACATATCTAACACCTAAACTCCTTTTACATTTATACCACCCAAATCTTTCATATCACATCAAAAGTACCCCTATTTTACCTTTTAAAAAGTGAAATAGATTTTTTAAAAAACAGGCAAGGTGGCATATATGTAAAAATTGAAGTTTAGGAGTTAGATGCTTAAATACATAAGAATTGAGTTAATAGCTACATATTATATACCTGGTGTGAACTGACATAAAGTTTGGGCCCCATTAAGCTAAACTGGAGTGAAGGACACACTGGTTCCTTCCTCTGATGACCAGGAATATTATCTTGTGCTGGAGCCCAGACTCTTTCAACTTGAAAATCCAAGAAATACTGCAGCTCCTCTATAGGTGGTTTGACTGAAGAATGCATATAAATGATGTAGATAGTAAGCCTCATTGTATATTAAAGCTTTGAAAGTTAGCATATTGCATTTAAATCTCTTTAATTAAATTAGAAAAATAAGGGACACTTACATACATACCACACATTTCTATGTATATACATGTCAACACCTAAACTTTACCTTTTACATTTGGATCATCAAATCTTTCATGGCACATAAAAAATACCACCTTTTAACTTTTAATAAGAGAAATACACCTTCTCTAGCATAAGGTGACGTGTAAAAATTGTAGTTTAGGTGTTAGATATGTAAATATATAGGAAATGAATCGTACGTAGGTAAATCTTCCAAAAAATTAGCATAATTGGTAACCATAAGTCTGCATCCTCTTCACCATCAACGATCGAGGACCCCAACTGGATTAAAAAGCCTTGAACAATTCAAAGGTAAAACATTGCTATGATAATCATCAAATTTCGTTTGGAGAATATGTTTTGTGAGGAAGAGAAACTACCAGAATTTCTGTAAATTGACAAAGAAAAATGGAATGCAATGACACTCAAAATAGAGTGGCATTTACATACATACCACCAAATTCATATGTATATACATATCTAACACCTAAACTTTACTTCTTAAATTTATACCACCGAAATCTTTCATATCACATAAAAAATATGACCATTTTAACTTTTAAAAAGTGAAATACACCTTTTCATGCATAGTTAAGGTAGTATGTACGATAAAAACTGAAGTTTAGGTGTTAGATATGTAAATACATGAGAATTGAGTGGTATTTATGTAAATCTTCCCAAAATAAATGAAGAGCATTATGCACATGGGTTCAAACTTACACTCCAAATACAGATCAATTGCACGAGCTAGATATTTTATTGCGGGCAGTTCGTCCAGTAGCGAGACGATGGGAATGAAAGTCATGTTGATAACATCTGGTGCCGAAGCAACAGTTTTTGCCCAATCAATATGATTCTGAACGAGATCATCACCGCCTCTCCTTCTGAATATTACTGTAACATCCTAATCAAAAACAAACATATTAAATTCTTCTAACGAAAACATTGGAAACATAAAAGAGGTTAACAATGCAGCACAAAAAACCAATACAAGCATAAAAACTTGCCTCTTTACCAGTGAGATGTGGAATGTCAGATGGCAAAGTTCGAGTCTCCTGGCTATTCAACAGCGATAATTCACCAAACTGTGAAAATTCATTAAGAAAATAATAATTGTAAATACATATTTATCTCTCTCCTAAACAAACAAAAATATATTAGGGCATTTACATATATAGCTTTTACATATTTCAGACCTAAACTTCTAAAGATACACACATAGCACTCAAATCTTTAGTATAATATAAAAAATAGCACTATTATCACTTAAAAAAAATGAAATACACCTTGTCTGCATAAGTTTAAAGCACCAAAGTGCCAGGTATGTAAATATGAAAGTTTAAGTGAGACATAAGTAAATACATAAGAATTTTGTGCAAGGTATGTAAATTTCCCAAATATATTTCTGAAAATGAGAAAGAACATACCTGGTTCTCCAGGAGTGAAAACCTTTGATCTCCAATACCATTTACATATTTCTCGATTTCTGAAGGAGGCAAAGAAGATGAACGATGTTGCTTGACATATATTTCATCTCTACCGCCAATAGTCACGGAAGTGATAATATGTGTCCCAAAGTTTTCAATGAAACTGAAATATAAGCGATAGAAACATGACAATGATTAAATCTCAAAGGGACAAAAAGATACAAAATGAAGACGATTACAAAATCAATCATCAAGTTTCACTGCTTTTGTTTCTACTTGGATTCAGTAAATTTTTTTATTACAGAATTACACATTCCTGAAAATAGAAGAAAAGCAGGGAATTTTATATATATAAAAACAAAGCTGAATCCCAGGAATTTAAAAGTGATAACAGACACGGCAATGAATTTGTATCACCCAACATACCTAGCTAAAGAAGAAGGTTCCCAAGCACGAGGAACTGCACGCTTTAAATCATCATGCAAAACTAATTGAGAATTCACCAATTTAGCCTTAAAAAGTGGGATGTAATAACCCACGACTGCCAGGGCTTTTACTGTTGCTTCATCAGTTTTCCATGACCCCGTTAAACTGAACAAGGAATTAAAGCTTCCGAGAGGTATTGATTCTGTGAGAGATGACTTCTTGTTGAAATGAGTTGCCATCTGGAAAACAAGGAGAAAAACTGTAGCGTTTTAGCACTTCCAAACATGTAAACAATAATCACATATAAAATTGAACAGATAATAAGACGCACCACTTGATCTTTATTTGTAAATAAGCATAGCGTTTAAGGAAAAAAGGTATAGGGAAGAAATAAAACATAGTATGTAATGTTTCCACGAAAAAGTGCAGCATTATGTCATTAAAAGGGTAAATGTAATTTTTTATTACAGCTGCACCACATGTAAGAACAGTTTTTTTCATGATTAGCTAGTATATTCGAAGATTTAATAAACAGTAATTGCCATATATATATATATTATATATATAATACAAGACCATGAAAGCAATTACACATTTCCAGATTAAATCTGACCATTTGGCTCAACTTCTAAAACACTTGCACTGAGAAATAAATTTTTAAAATGTTAATTAATAAAATAAAAAGCTGGGCCTTTGAAATGTAATGTCATTATAAATATCAAAATCTTTTGTCATAAGAATAACTCAGATATTGCTTGTTTGTATGAGAATTCCTTGATAGTTCTTGTCATAAGACTTAGTTTTAATCTGCATTATATCTTGCTAGGACAAATCATTGCCTTCAGGATGGGAGGCGCAGCTTATAACAGAGCAATATTCGTCACAAGGGTAACCATCTCCAAGACTCACAGCTATGGTGTATTTCTCATTCGCAATGTAGACGTCATAAAAAAGCCAAATCCCAGCTTCTAATGCTTGACTTTTAAGACTTAGATATTTTTAAGATTCCATGTGATGCTTGCTATGAAACTTTAACAAATATTTAAGAGTGTCGTTTTAGAGTCATTGGTCTCCTTTAGAATAAGCAACACCTTACACCATAAATTTCGACACTAGAGTGATTATTTGTTAGACTTGACATTAGAGTGGAATTCTCTCTCACAATATGGATTTTGTTGCAAAAAATAACACTTATTCCTTGGTCTCAATTTTTACGATATTTGTAATATTCAATGTAATGCTTATTCTCTGACTTAACAAATATTTAAGAGTAAAAATATAAAGAAGTCATTGGTCAAGTTGCAGATATGACAGAATAGTGACTTATACTAACAAGTGATTTGCAACTTATGGTTATGAGCAACATTGATTTGAGATTTGCTAAGATAACTATAGATACATAGAAGGCTTGTACTATTGAATATAACGCTGTTAGAAATTCATAAAATGTATTCTTCTACTTGAGTGAAACTCATATTTTAAGTTAAGGTTAAAGAGGCTTCATGAAAAGATTGACCAAGTATATCGATTCATACCTCACATAAAGGGAATAATATCTCAAATAATCTGTTATGGCCAGTGTTCCTCTTGCTTAATCAATTGAGTATATACATTCAAGTAATGAATTTTTCTTATTTTGATTTAATTCATTAACATCTCAATTTCCTTGCCTTCAAGTTTACCCAACTTAAAAGTAAAAATAAGTATTTATTTCAAAATTGAAATTGTTAACAACTTGTCAAGAATATCAAATTGTTGGGGTCTTAAAAACGATTTCCATGTATATAGCAAATTCTTCAAGAAGAGTTCCCCTAGTGTGGAGAATTATGAAATTCTTAAGACAAGTTTCTTGAGTATAGAGAAAGCAAAATTAAGTAAATTTTAAATTGTGAAACAATAAAGTTTTCTTTTTAAGATGAAGTAAAGTGCTAGTTTTCTTTTTATTTCACTGAAAGTATAATTTATATGTTTGTCCGTGTGTTTCCCTTTCAAATAAAAATTATTTTAAGTTTGAATTCAATCGGCCACGGGGATAACTTGTTCTTTGATAATGCAAGATCCTTCACATAAATCCAAGGTTTCCAAGAATGGGTTATTGTGATATAACATCAACTCTCCAAATGATAAAAATACCTCGAGTGAAAGCTTCCTTTGTTAACATATCCATCATAACATTTGGTGATTTGCCTCTTAACTTATTCTTCATGAATTGATGCTTGAATTATGAGTTCTTGAAGGAGGTCAAGACAATTTTGTAATGCCTTTTCACTAGAGAAACTCTAGTCACTGAGTTCTTTTTCCTAATAATTAAAGCAGTAATTACTCTTTATCTGTACTAGCTATATTACAAGTAAGAGCGCCATGCATCCATGAGAAAAGAGAAGAGAGAAAAGGGTTTTGTCTTAGAAAGTGCAGTTCTCAAAACCTAGAGTACCTCTTTGTAACATTTCAACCCATTTTCCTTTAGAGCCTTCGAGTGCTTTATAAAAAGATTGGAAAATAGCTTTAGGAGCTTCCACATGCCTGTTAGTTCTAAAACTGGGCTTAGAAGCAAATTCATTAACTTTAACAAAATTCGTTACCTGTTAACAAATCGTGAATTGTTATTAATAGTGTTATCAAAGCGCAAAGTACAATGTGATACGTAAGCTTTTATATTTATGTCAAAGCATAAAGCGAAGCGTGCTTTTATCAACCAAAGTGCTAATAAGTTATATAAAATTATTAATATACACACGTTTTCGTTAAGAATTAGAAAGTATAAAATATGACTTAAAAAGTAAATTAAAACAGAAAATAATGAGGTATAATTTCTAACGGCTTGTTGCAATAATTAAAAAATTAAAAATTATCTTTAGCACTTCAAAGCGTGCTTCGGTGAAGCTAGTGTCATGGGCTACGCATCGCTTTGCTCGTGAAACGCACTTTTAAAAAACATTGTTTATAAGTAGTAATCACTATTGGTATGCCATAGTGAAAGGGTGTAAAAAAGCTACAGGAACCATCCTTCGATTCCCTCATATGAACCGAACCAGTCCAGACCTGAGAGGTTGATCGGCTCTTCCACATTGGTTTGACGCCTCCTTTCCATAGGGAGATTCAATCCTAGTTATCTAAGGCTTATATAAGTGATTCATGTGTTTTAGGTTTTTAGTTTTTATGTATTTTGTATTGGGACAGTCGCCGTCGTCTTATTTCCCCTTTGAGAGTGGTATCCAAAGATTCAGGTGATGCTCCGAGTGTATCTCACTTCCGAGATGGTGATTATCTTCCATATTCCTTTTTGCATCCTCTCCAAGTCGCTCCCAACCGCCCCTTCCATGTTGCATTTGCCCGAAAAAGCCTTCTTTTACAGTTTGCCTACAATTTCCTAGTTGTCCGGTCATTTTACTAGCTGTCACCACCCAGAACAGCCCTTTCGCTGTTTCGCAGTCCACCGCATCCCCCATCGTCGTTCCAGCCATCCATCATCACTGCCATCGCTGTTCCAGTTTCGTTGTCACTGTTGTTCCAGCCCTCCATACTCACTGTTATCATTCTTCCAGACCTCCATCTTGCTGCCCTGTGCCGCAATCCCCTTTCCCCTTGCTACCGTCACCCAAAACAGCCAACATGCTGTTCTCAAGACTCTCCCGCCGCCCTACACTCACTACAACCTCCAATAAAAACCCTCCAGAAGCCCTTACTTGCTGCAACCACCACCCTACACCCATTCTAGGCACCTAGCACCCTTCCCAATCCACCTAGCCGACCACCATCATCCCTAGAATGGACCCAAACTTGAGTTGTGTGGCGTGTCCGTTGTTATTTCCTGTTTCAGTGTGTTTAATTGTAATTTCCTATTTGTTTTCAATAATAATATTTGTTTTTCCTATTGTTGTATGTGTTAACTCAGGTATCACATAGTGTTAGATGATGTTGATTCATATGAAATAAATTATTATTTATTAGAGAAAAAGGACAAACCCTTCCTTACATAACAAATAACCTTGAATTGGAAATCAATTGAAGCTTATGGGACGGTTAGAACTTCAACGGAGCAAATTTTAGCAACAAATGCACCTTCTAAAAAAATATTTTAAATCTTCTTATGTAGTCAGTCAAAAGCATTCTTATCACAGAATTTAATGGGCAAGCATCTTGTCCTTTGTCTTTCACATTCCCCCATAATAAAACTCCTTTCAAATGTTTAACCTCACATACAATCATAGATTCATCATAGTTAGTGATCTTCCAAAAGAGTTTAGCATCAAACAAGAATTATGCTACTTTGAACTTGAAGAAGCTAGGATCTCTGATATAGAATGAAATTTGGCGAATAGAAAAATATTCAGTGAATGGATTAACCCAACTCACAAGGACATTGACTTACTTAGCTTCAAGTTCCCCAACACTTCAATGGGCAATATTAATTGCAAGTTGGCAAATAGCATTGCCATACTTGAAAAGGTAGTGAATTGGTCAAGTTCTAAGGGAATTTTTTCAATTTTTGTTGTGTCAAATTTGTCTTCGAAGGTATCTCTGTAGAGTGGTGTCTCAAGCTTCAAATTCTCCATTAACTTGATTAATAATCAATTGAGGATTGATGTTGAAATGCTTATCTCCAAATCTTAGCAAATCACAAGCCAACAAGTAGAGCCTTAGACTGACTCAAAAATAAAATTGCACTGCATGAATTGGAATAATTTCTACTGTGATTTTAACATTATTCCAATTCCAACTTCTAAGATTCCCAAGAAATCATCAACAAAAAGAGTTCAAAGTATGTCTCCATGGGCCTCCAATTTCCTCTTCAACTCTTAAGCAGTGTGAAACAAGAAATAAGTCCTCTAATGTTTGCAGCTTGATGGTGGTCCATAATACATAAGAGATCTACATTTCACTAAGCCCAATGAACCACTCAAGAAGTTAGTGAAATCATCCAATTTCAAATATATGAATTTTAAAGGATGGCCAATGGAGACATGAATGTCATGACGACTAGTGCCCAAGCCAATTTTTCAGTTTTCGTCACCTATAGAATCTTGTTACTTAATAAAATGCTCACTGCCTCTTATCATCTTTCTTTGATTAAAACAAAGTTGGCCACCTCTGAGATGGAAAAGTAATCGATCATCAGGACTTGAACTCTGGAGAAGAGGTAACAAATGAAGTTAGCAATTTCAATTGGTTGAATGCATGATCACATTCATGAAATATTTACTCATCTAATTCCAACATGTGCAATAGAGAGCAGACGATTCAACATTAGTGAGAAGAATAGATAAAACAATATTACTGATTATGAACCTCATGCACATTCAAATTGAATGAAACAAATATAAATCATGCCAAGATATCAGACTTCCCAAAATTTTCCTTAGCTGCTGCAACTAAACATGATTGCGGCTAGATTCCAATCCAAATAAAGAACTAATTCCAGATTAAAATTATAAAATTTAGAAAAAAAAACAAATTAACCACAAATGAAAGCTACCATCGCATAATCCCAACCGGCAAAACAATTAAGTGAAATCACAGAAGAAACAACACACACCGCCATGGTTGGGCAATATAAAACATCCAATGCAAGAATCGCAAAAGCACAATCACTGCAGCCAAAGTTTATCAGAGCAGCAAAACGAAGAGAATAAACAAGAATCCAAATCAAAACACAGACTAGAATGCTTCCAATTACAACAACAAAAGAATAGATAGAAAACTCATAGCCTATCAACGCCATCACTAAAATCGGACTTACTTCTCGAAAACTACAGACTGGAGTCGTCTCTCTCCCCGGCCTTCCTCTAACGATATCCACATCAGAGGGAACACCAGCGAGAACAGCGCCAACTTCAGAGACAACGAAGTCCCACGAAAGGGTTTTGTCAAGCTGGAGCAGGCGGGATCCAGGTGCGCCCTTGCAGTAAAGAAGACGCGAGTCAGCGGTGACATCGAAGCCACGGCCAACAGCCTCGACGGCGTTGGAGAGAGTCGCGATCAGAGCAGCCGGGTGCTTCGGATGCCCCGGCGGCCCTGGTTCACCCATGAAAACTCTAGCGATGGAGCTTCCAAGAACATAGAAGCGGCGACCACCGTTGAAAACCCACGGCGAAGGAGTTCGGGAAGAAGAACGGATCTCTTCTCCTCATCTCATTGTGGATTTAGATAAACTGACTCTCTCTCTCTCTCTCTCTCGGTATCTCTCCAAGGTTCTTGTCTGGTTCTTTAGGCTGGAGCTCTTCGTCTTCTAGCTTTCTGTCTTACTTTCTCCTCTCTAGTCAGAAATTAGACGGAGGGTACGATCGGGCTTTTGACTGAGAAGCTGTTTTATATTTTCCTTTATAAAAACGCGTTTTCTAAAGCGATTTATGAGTTGACCGGCCGCCGTTTGGCCGGCTGCTCCGGCCGGGATTTTCCGCTTCTCCGCATTGATATTTTGGAGAAAAAACTAGCCATTAGGTAATATTTTGAGAATATTAATCACAATATTACCAATATTCACAAATCATACCTTTGATTTATTAAATATAATATTTATATTATTTTTACAAATGATGAGGCAAAAAAATATATATTCCAACAACAAATTGACTTTTTTTAAAATTAAATTTTTTTTCTTAGACCTTGTTATAATAAAGAGATAAAATATATAATGGTTTAAAAAAAATATTTTTTTTTAATAAAAGTAACACTAAAATATTATATGAGTAAATATTAATGTTTATGTTTTAAATCCTGAAAAATATAATATATAATTTAATATTGTGAATCACAGAAGCATGTTGAAATTTGTGATGTAGGAAATTAATTAGGACTTTAATCCATATATTAAAAAATATATCTACGAGCTAAGGTTTAATTTTTTTGGAATAAATTCAAAATGTATTTGATTAAATTGAATGGTCTTTTTAAATGGCATGTTGCATTTAATTTCAATTAATCAAAAAATGGCCTTTTACAGTTATATAATCTTATATTAATAAAACTTAATACAAGTTAATATTGTTGGTCTTAATATTAGCTCCCACATATGATAATTTAGGAAAAAATATTGTTGGTCTTATATATATATATATATATTATTTTTGTTGCTTACCAATGCAATTCAATCAATTACTGTTGGTAGTTTTTTGTAAGTGTAAATTTCAAATTAAACCCTTTAAAATATTTTTTTGACAAATAGATAATAAGTAAAACAATTAATCATATGAAATTCTTTCCTTAACTCTCTTCCAATGCTAATTTTTTTTTGACAAATTGATAATAAGTAAAATAATTAACCATATGAAATTCTTTCCTTAACTCTCTTCCAATGCTCCTACATCAACGCCATTTAAGAATGCATTTTTACATCATATGGAGTGTTAAATTTATTTTATATACCATGCCATGTTAATTTTTTTTATTAATCTTAAGAATTTTTTTGAAGTTGTCATTGGCATCCTCCGAAATCATGTCTTGGTTACTTTAAAAGAGGTAGATGATAAGAGTGAGAAGAGCAAATACAACAGTAACAATAAACCTTTATCCCATTAAATGGGGACAGGTACGTGAATCCCTTTGCTCCATTGTGTCCTATTGAGATTCTATAAAAATTACAATCATTTTGTATACATCATGCCCAAATCTTTTTTAACTCTACCTTCACCCTTATTCACACAAGTCAAATCTAAAACAACTACTCTCCTAACCGGATCCTCGGATGATCAACATTTAATGTGACTTAATCATTTAAGAAAACTCTCTATAACCTTGTTTGCTATTGGAGCTACACCAACCCTTTCACATATACGTTAGTTTTGTCTTTTGTTTCTAAGTGTAAAGCCCCTCATCAACCTAAGCATTCTCATCTTAGCAACGCGTTGCTTTTCTTTTATAGGCCAACATTTTGCGTCATAAAACATTGCATGTCTCACCACAATCTTATAAAATTTTCCATTAAGTCTAGGGAATACTTTTATACCACGCTCCACTTCAACCATCCAACTTGACTTCTACTAAAAGCATCCTCATCAATATCAAGACCACTTTAAGCAAGACCTAATATATCTAAAATGTTCGCTCATTTTAATGACTTAATCACCCATGATTACACTTTTGTCGCTAGATCTACTACTACTAAAATTAAGTTTAAAGGTGAGAGGAGCTAATAATTATTATGATAATGGATTGAAAATTTTAAATTGGATTGTTGCTTCCAAAATCTAAAATCTGAACTGTAGTAAATGGTCATATATAAACAAACAAATGCAATCATATATTAATGAAGAAAAAATTAAGTAATATTGGGTCAAGCCCAAAAATAACCAACCCCAACAATTGGTCATAGAAAGCTCACCAAGATCAATTATGGCTAACAAATTCACTCGAAATTTAAAACTCCTTGAACTTCTATGTCCAAGATTGAATTATTTTTTAGCCAAATTATGAATCATACCTGAGAGAAATTATTACATGCGGTTGTCCGCACACATGGACAGCCACTCA